TATAAATTTAACTGTCACAGTTAACGGACATATAAGAAGACCATGTTTGGTACTGTGTGCTTCCCCCAGCAGATGGGGCGGGCTACCACTGTCTAATTCAGCACACCACAGATTGAAGGAGGAAATGTTAAATGGCAACGAAAAGCATTTACTAAAATCCAATACTCCAGTGTTTATGAAAGGTGGCCAAGAAGGTAAGATTGCTACTTAACCTGAGAAAAGGTTCCCACGAAAAACCTGCAGTCAATACAGTGTAGTGGAGAAACACCGAAAAGGAAATCTAGGAATGCAGCCGTGAGGATGCTGTCCCCTCCCCTGGAGACTAATGTGGCCCCAGCCCTCAGGGGTTGCCCTGGAACTTATAGTTCAGAAAGCAGGAAACAAGACTGCCCCCACAGGGAGCTTTTTAATAAAGAAAATCAAGGAGAATCTCCATCTACAAACTCTCAGCTTTGAGGAGAGCTTAGCATAGTAGTGGAGTAAATGATCCACAAGCAGAGGTGTGTAACTGCTGAAGGGAGGCCGGGAAGGAGGGGAAGTATGTGACTGTGTCGGTTGTTGTGCCTGGAAAAGGGAAAAACTAATTTACAAAAGATCTCTTTTCTCTAAAATATTTAAAAAACAGCAGTTATTTTAACAACAAAAAGGTATGAAAGACTTTGCTAGAAAAAAATATAAAAACTTTCCAAACATGTGGGGGAAAAAGAACCAAACCCACCTTTAAATCTGTGTGCCGACTCCTGTGTCAGTGCTCCGTGGGTCTTATCTGTCAATTCAGTGTGATTGAGAGAAAAAATCTCAGTAGGAGTCCTGGAGCAAACGAAGACAAGGTGCTGATGAGCTGGAGATGATTGATCTCTTCTAGACCAGGCCCCTGGCTGGCACGGGGGAAGGAAGAGATGGTCAGGGGAAGAGGCGATTAATCTGAGAAGCGCCCTGTGCGTTTCCTGTCACCTTGTCACCCGCCAAAGTAAAGCTGTGGTGACTTAACTAGCGCCTGACTGAGAGGTAACTTCCACACAGCAAAAGTGACTTCATGTAAGTGCTTGGCAGAGGAAGGGAGCGGGCACTGAAGGTGACTTCTTGCTGTGATAGAAGCGTCACACTGCAGTTTCACGTGAAGGGTGTAAATTTTAGAAGCCTGAATGTGCAAGCGTGTGGATAGAAACTTGTGGTCTAGTTATATAATATAGGCATTAAAACAAAGGGACACAGATTATGTAGAGCTCCATAATAAATCTTAAAAAGTTTAAGTGTGCATGTGTAGTCTCAGCTATTCAGGAGGCTGAAACATAGTCTATCTCAGAAACAAACAAAAATGTCAGAAATCATTGCCAAATAGCAACCGTCTTATCTCTTACATAGCAGTTAACAGAATCAGAGTAATGTCCTGTATCGTTTGTAGAGATGTGTGTTTGTACCACAGTGTAAGTGTATAGGAGAGACAGGCCACTTAAGGAGATGACCCTTGCTCGTGTGTGTCTGTGCCTTTGCACACGCATGTGTGCTGTCTGAGGTCAGTGGCAGGAGTGGATAAGTTGGGATGTGGGTAGATGGATATTCATGTTCTTACCCTTGCATGTCTGGTTGTTTCCTAACGCAGGTTGAGTATCCCTCACCTGGAACAATTGGATCAGGAATGTTTCAGATTTTGGATTTTGGAATGTCTGCATATACATGAGCTATTTGGTGAAAGGGCCCAAATGCAATCACTAAACTAATTTCTGTTTCCTACCCCAAGGATACCCACAGTGTATTGAAGAATATGTGTGTGCCTAGGTTTTGCCTGAAGCCTGCCCTTGAGATTGGGCGTGGAATCTGCCACTTGTGGTGCCAGCTGCATCAGCACTCAGACAGCTTCAGCATTTGGGGCAGTTTAGATATCAAGGTTTTAGAGGGGCCTGCCCATTAGCTCAGTTGTTTAAGTGCCTGCTTAAGCAAAGCAGTCAGGCTCAGGATTCTGTGGTTTGATCCTCAGATCCTCATGCCTTACCAGACCTGACCTTGAGGCCGCCTGAGCTGGCCTAAATAAATAAATAAATAAATAAATAAATAAAATCCTTTAGATATCAGGGTTTTAAATTAGGAAGGCTCAGTGCTTAGTTTTTAAAAAGGAGAGGCCAGGTCCAGGGAGATAGCTCAGTAGAACAAGCGCTTACCTGGCAAGTGCAAGGTCCTGAGTTCAATCCCTGGTACCCCCCGAAAAAATAAATACATGAAAAGGAGAGGCTAAGTCTGATGTAGCAGGTCTCTTAGAGTCTCTGTTTCTGTGCTATTTTGTTTCAGTTCTGTCCTCTCCTGAGGGAGATGGCATGGCAAGTGTCTTTTTTGGCCACCCCTCACCCATGGCCTCTTGGGCATCTAGATGTGGCCTCCATGAAACGGCCAGGCGTTGCCAGGATGAGCCCAGCAGTGCTATGTCTGGAGAGTTGGAGCCTCTGTTTCCATGTATCCCCAGTCCTAAAGCCAGAGAGCCATCCTGTGGGAAACCTAGAGGCAGTCAGTGAGCTTGAGTCGCTGAGCTTGGGAGAGGCCCCTGCCCCTTCCTTATAGGCCTCATCTATCCAGCGCCAGGGAGCCTGCGAAGGTGCCTGTGTCATCAACATGTGGCATGGAGTTGACCCATCGGAGGTACCTTGTGGTCAGGCCGTGCAGGTGGTGGGCACCTGGCTGGGTCTGCTGTTTCCCCTCTAGTGGGGCCCTGTGCAGGCTTCAGTGCTGAAGACCAGGGTGCTGACCTTCGGAGATTATTCGAGGACCCCAGGATGTGTTCACACCCTGCCTGGCGGACAGCAGAAAGGTGTCTTTCATTCCCCTGGCTGCTCTCTTTCAGAGAACTGCCTTCACTGCAAGTGCTGGAGCGTGTTCCCAAAGACTGGGGCTTTTTATTTTCCTGTGAAAGCATTCTTTTAAAGAATTCTAACTCAGGAATTAGTGGTAAAGATGTAATTTCTTTTTAAAGCAGCTTGTTCTGCAAAAGTTGGGAAGACACATTTGTGCTGCTGTAAAACATCCATTTGTGTGTGCTGCAGAAGAAAAAATATTCTCCTAAGTTTGCTTTTCTTGATGCTGAGCTCCCCACAGAGAATATATTTTGGTGCCTTGTGTTTGCCTGTGAGGAGTGAGATTAAAGGCTCATTTCCCAGCCTTGGCTTTTCTGCTGGAGTTTAGAAGTTGGAGAGCCCAGGGCTGCACAGAGCTGCACAGTACTCAGTTGCAAACAGGCCTGGCTTTGTCTGTGGCTGCTGCTGCATCAGGTCTGGTGGCCAGTGCCAGCAGCAGCTCCACGAGAGACTACTCTTGGGTGTGTGGGTGGTGGGCAGCCACGTGGAGTCACGGAACCGTGCCAGGGTGACCCAGGCCCCTGTGGTGGTATTGGTCTGCACTAGAGAAAGGTGTGTTTTAGAAGACTTTTGTCACCTAAATAGGCTGTATGTCATTGTTATGATGCATTTTTGGTACCTGACTGTCCACATTGGCAGAGCTCTGAGAGGGCCTCTGGAGGACCTGAAGGAGTTTCCTGTTGTAGACGCCCACCAAGAAGTGCAAGGCTAGCACCACAAAGCCCCCAAGGACCCACCCAAGCCGAGCAAGGTGCAAGGCCCTCGGGGGCGTCTAGCTTAGGAGTGTGTCCTGGAGAGGCTGCCAGGGCAACTGCCTCGACTGGTTGTGGGACTCAGTCACTCCTTGCAGCCATGGTCAGAGTCCACAGGAAACACAAGACTACCTTACCCAGGGTGACAGCTTGTTGGGGAGTGACTGTCACAGCAGTCGCACACAACCCCAACCCAGGGTGTGAACTTACAGCACTTCGCGGGTTTTAATCAGAAAGACCCAGCAATGTCTTGTGTTGGAGCTACCATGGGAGTAGGATGCTGAGACTTTCAAGCATTTTCTTGTTCCCTTCTGTGGACTAAAATGCCCGAATGCCTTGGTGTGGACTTCTTGATTGTTGCGTAGAAAGTGGGGTAGGGATTTTGCATCTGTGCTAGCTTTCTGCACCATCTGTCCTAGCTGCCCACCCCTCAGGCTGGAGCTCTGGCGAGCAGGGCCAGAGGGCGCACACCTTCCCCGTCTTCCGCTCTGCCTCTGCCTGCACTGCTCAGGCAAGTGTTTAGCGAGATACCTCTTGGAGGTCCTCAGTGAAGTTACCTGAACCTAGGCCACCAATCAGGAAGGACTGTGTGAGCCTGGTGGCCACTGACCCTTTGGGCTTTGGTCCACAGGTAGAGCAGATGGTGGGCTTCACCCTCTTGTGGGGAGTGTTGTCCTGGTGGGACTGGCGACTCAGTCCTCTCCTGGTGGCTTCCCAGGGTTTATCCCACCAGTTCCTAGCGTGCAGAACATGGGCTTCCTGGTCCCAGGAGCTGGTGTTGGTCAAGGCTACTTCCCTTCACCCAGCCTCTGGCCCCTCACTTGGGGTATGGTATGGAAATGCGTATCTTTGAGCCTAGGCAACTGCTTCTCTAGAAGGCAGCAGATGAGGAGGGTGTGTCAGGGGCCCCCAGAACGCCTGTGGCTGAAGGCTGGCAGGCGTGTTCAGGTTGGCTCTTGTGGCAGCTGGCTTTATTTTGGCCAGTGTGAAAAATCAGAAGTTCTTTGTTCGAGCCCAGGACTCCCGTTCATTGGCAGTCAGCAGTGGCTCAGTGACACCCCTGACCTGGGTTATGTGGGGCATTTCTGCCCAGTTCCCCTGACCCTCCTGCCTCCTACCTGTGCTGCTATGGTAGGCGCATCTCGTGTTGTCATGGAGGCTGGGCCTGCTGGGTCTCATGGGCGTCAAGGACTCCAATGACCTGCACCCAGCATCAAAGAGACTGTGTAGATCTTGTATAAAAATGACTCCCTTTTAAGGGGAGTAGGTAAGGCTGTGTGTCCCAAAGATGGCCTGGGTTTAATCTGGGGCAATTAATGAAAACATTAATTGTGGTAAGAGGGTAGAGACAGAGGTTGTCAAATGCCTCAGTTTCTCCAAACATAAGCTCTGGTGTGTTTGGCAGGTGAAAAGCAAGCCAGCCAAGATGGATATCTACGACACACAGACCTTGGGCGTTGTGGTCTTCGGTGGCTTCATGGTGGTGTCTGCCATTGGCATCTTCCTGGTGTCCACTTTCTCTATGAAGGAGACATCATATGAAGAGGCCCTCGCCAACCAGCGCAAGGAGATGGCGAAAACCTACTACCAGAAAGTAGAGAAGAAAAAGAAGGAGAAAACTGTGGAGAAGAAAGGAAAGACCAAGAAAAAGGACGAGAAACCAAATGGGAAGATTCCTGAACATGACCTGGGCCCCAATGTCACTGTGCTTCTCAAAGAACCAACACGTACTCCTGCCATGGCTGTGGCCCCAACCCCCATCCAGGCCCCACTGGTCTTCACCCCTGTGGCTGCAGTACCAGCCATGCCCCAAGAGAAGCTGGCCTCCTCCCCAAAGGACAAAAAGAAGAAGGAGAAAAAGGTGGCCAAGGTGGAACCAGCAGTCAGCTCTGTAGTGAATTCCATCCAGGTTCTTGCCTCAAAGTCTGCCATCTTGGAAGCCACCCCTAAGGAGGTGCCAATGGTGGCTGTGCCCCCAGTGGGAGCCAAGACGAGTGCTCCAGCCATCAGCATGTCTCAGGGCAAGAAGGCTGAAGGGGCCCAGAACCAGGGCAGGAAGGGGGAGGGAACCCCAACCCAAGGCAAGAAGGGGGAAGGGAACCAGAACCAGGGAAAGAAAGGGGAGGAGAACCAGAACCAGGCCAAGAAGGGGGAGGGGAACCAGAACCAGGCTAAGAAGGGGGAGGGGAACCAGAACCAGGGAAAGAAAGGAGAGGTAAACCAGAACCAGGCCAAGAAGGGGGAGGGAAACCAGAACCAGGCTAAGAAGGGAGAGGGGAGCCAGAACCAGGCCAAGAAGGGCGAGGGGAACCAGAACCAGGCTAAGAAGGGGGAGGGGAACCAGAACCAGGGAAAGAAGGGGGAGGGGAACCAGAACCAGGCCAAAAAGGGGGAGGGGAACCAGAACCAAGGAAAGAAGGGGGAAACAAACCAGAGCCAATCCAAGAAAGGGGAGGGGAACCAGAACCAGGCCAAGAAGGGGGAAGGGAACCAGAACCAGGGTAAGAAGGGAGAGGGGAACCAGAACCAGGGAAAGAAAGGAGAGGTGAACCAGAATCAGGCCAAGAAGGGGGAGGGGAACCAGAACCAGGCTAAGAAGGGAGAGGGGAACCAGAACCAGGCTAAGAAGGGGGAGGGGAGCCAGAACCAAGCCAAGAAGGGGGAGGAGAACCAGAACCAGGGAAAGAAGGGCGAGGGGAACCAGAACCAAGCCAAGAAGGGGGAGGGGAACCAGAACCAGGGAAAGAAGGGAGAGGGGAACCAGAACCAGGGAAAGAAAGGGGAGGGGAACCAGAACCAGGCTAAGAAGGGGGAGGGGAACCAGAACCAGGCCAAGAAAGGAGAGGTGAACCAGAACCAGGCCAAGAAGGGGGATGGGAACCAGAACCAGGGAAAGAAGGGGGAGGGGAACCAGAACCAGGGCAAGAAGGGGGAGGGGAACCAGAACCAGGCCAAAAAGGGGGAAGGGAACCAGAACCAGGCTAAGAAGGGGGAAGGGAACCAGAACCAGGCTAGGAAGGGAGAGGAGAACCAGAACCAGGCTAAGAAAGGAGAGGGGAACCAGGCTAAGAAGGGGGAGGGGAACCAGAACCAGGCTAAGAAGGGGGAAGGGAACCAGAACCAGGCTAAGAAGGGGGAGGGGAACCAGAACCAGGTGAAGAAGGGGGAAGGGAACCAGAACCAGGCTAAGAAGGGGGAGGGGAACCAGAACCAAGCTAAAAAGGGGGAGGGGAACCAGAACCAGGCTAAGAAGGGGGAGGGGAACCAGAACCAGGGAAAGAAGGGGGAGGGGAACCAGAACCAGGGAAAGAAGGGGGAGGGGAACCAGAACCAGGCTAAGAAGGGGGAGGGGAACCAGAACCAGGCCAAGAAAGGGGAGGACAACCAGAACCAGGCTAAGAAGGAAGGGAGCCAGAACCAGGGAAAGAAGGGAGAGGGGAACCAGAACCAGGCCAAGAAGGGAGAGGGGAACCAGAACCAGGGAAAGAAGGGAGAGGGGAATCAGAACCAGGCCAAGAAGGGGGAGGGCAACCAGAACCAGGCTAAGAAGGGGGAGGGAAACCAGAACCAGGGCAATAAGGGGGAGGGGAACCAGAACCAGGGAAAAAAGGGGGATGGGAACCAGAACCAGGGAAAGAAGGGAGAGGGGAACCAGAACCAGAACAAAAAAGTAGAGGGTACCCCAAACCAAGGCAAGAAGACAGAGGGAGCCCCAAACCAGAACAAAAAAGGAGAGGGTGCCCAGAACCAGGGCAAAAAGGGGGAAGGAACTCCTAACCAAGGCAGAAAGGCAGAGGGGAGCCCCAACCAGGGTAAAAAGGGAGAGGGAACCCCCAACCAGGGCAAAAAGGCTGATGGAGCGGCCAGTCAGAATAAGAAGCCAGAGACAGCTCCTGTCCAGGGTAAGAGTGAAACTACAATTCAAAGCCAGGAAGCACACAAGCAGGAGGCTCCTTCAAAGAAGAAGTCTGGTTCCAAGAAAAAGGGTGAGTCTGGTGAGTACTGTGTTCTTTTTTTTAAACCTGGAGGAAAGGCTCTCTTTGTGTGCTTTGTAGGTATTCTTCAGGGTGCTGCCTGTGTCAGTCAGCTGTGGTCACAACAGAGCTGTGGAACAAACATCCCTGAATCTTGTGGCTTGCAGCAGCAGACATTTACCTCTGTTTCTGCTCCTGCAAGCTAGTTAGCAGCAGTCGGTCAGTTGGATCTGTCTGGGCCAGAAGGCTGTGCTGTGGGCTGTGGCTTGACTGAGTTGAGGCCTAGTCTGGCCCACTTGTGCTTGTTCTGGGGCCCAGGCAAAATTCTCTCAGGGTGAGAGCAGAGCCACGAAGAGTGCCTCCTGGCTGGGTGAGTCCTGTGACCAAGGCTGGTTGGCCATATCTCTGGGAGAGGCCTGCAGCGTGGCAGTAGGAGGGGCAGAGAGGCGAAGCGCATCCTGTCCCTTGAGGCCTTCTGCCTCACCTGGTGCTGGGCGACGCTTCTGAGAAGCAGTGTGTCCCTCTGCATTGGCCCTTCCTCTTGGCCTGCACCCTGTGCAGTGGACAGAGGGCCATAGAGCATTTTTTTTTTTTTTTTAATTTATTGTGTGTGTGTGTGTGGCCAGCTCAGTCCACCAGGGGGCGGGGCTGGCTGGCATGTGGTGCTGGGGATTGAACCGCGGTCCCTGTGTTGCTTAGCTTAGCTTGTTCTAAGTGGGTGCTTTAGACCACTGAGCCATCTCACCAGCCCGCCATAGAGCATTAACGTGGACGTTAGATCTTAAGACAGATGCTGGGTCACGTGGTTTGCCTGTTTCATAGTATCTAGAACTGGACAGGGACTGGCCCAGGTTTATCACTTGATTGCACCACTTTGCCCTGTCTGCCTGCCTGCCTGCCTGCCTGTTTGCCCTTTGAGTAGCTATTAACTGACGGATATTAATTGTATTTGTCCTGACAAAAGGGATCTTCAGGCATCATTTGGCTTTTGCTGGGGAACCTATAGCCCTGTGGTTTTGGATGGATGTTCTGTACCACTCTTAAATTCTCAGTCTTTTCCTGGCCCAGATTTTGAGGAGCCCTGAGTAGGTCCTGTGGGGTGTCAGGGACAAGCACACCTGTCCACTCTTCTCTCAGGTCAGCCTCTTGGGCCCTGAGCCTGCTCCCCAAGGTGGGGGTGTGGAGAGTGGGCACACCTTTTTTGAGCCTGATCCCCCCCCCCCACGTCCCAGCCCCATACACAGTGGTGGACCTGGGCACTGCTGGATCTGGTTCTCCTCGATGAGCTCCACAACCTCCAGCATCTCATGGTCCCTGTCACTCTGGGTGGCTTTAGATATTTGAAATCAGTTGTGAAACAGTTATGCTTGTTTTAGTAGGGAAAGGAAAATTGTCCTGTCTTGTAAGTAATAGAGAACCTTGTAAGGGCTGAGACTGCACGTTGACCTGTCTGAGCCCATGCAACAGCTTGATGCACGTGAGAGAAAAGAACATTGACCCACAAAGTAACTCTGATCTGGGATGTGGAAGATAAATGTTACAGATAAGTGGGAGCTATTCCCAAGTTAACTTACTGGCCTGAAGTTATTACAGCCAAATTGGCAGTAAGATTTTCCCTGCCAAGTGACAAAACTATCCTAAAGTTAGTCATGTCAGGGAAAAATAGGATAGAGTATTGAAATAGGTTAAAAGCATTGAAAGTAGAGGGCTGGGCATGATGTGCACTGCTGTAATCCCAGCCCTTAGAAGGCTGAGGCAGGAGGATCACTGTTGAAGGCCACCTTGCACTACATAATGAGACGCTGTCTTAAAAATCAAAACAACAAAAAAGTATGGAAGATTGCTAAGATCATTAAGTAGCTTTTTAAAAGTGGCGTTTGGAAGGCTGGCTGGTGCTGTCTGCAGTGCGAACTGACCCAGCTGTGTCACCTGAGAGTGGAAATGAGGGGTGCATCCCGCTGCGCAAGGAAGGATGGGCATGTGGTGAGTGGTTTGGGGCCAGAGTGGTGGTGGTGGTAGGAAAACCCACGTAGGCCCCACCCAAGGCCTCTCACAAGCACTTGTCTGGGTGGACCCTGGTATGGAAGCTACTCTCGGGGTGCAGTGAGATAAAGTCACCTCGGCACTTCTGGGGATTGCCTAGGTGGGAGTGTCAGCCAGGAGAAGCTGAAGGAAGATGTGAGGCCCTGTGACACCAGATGAGCAGATTTCTCCACTCTTGAGTGGGTCTTTCCTATATCTTTTTTATTTTTCACTTCCCTAATTTGTACTTTTATTTTCAATTTAAAAAAAAAAAGGTTTTTTGTGTGTGTATTTGGTACAGGGTCTCACTGTGCAGCTCAGACTCGAAGTGATCCTCCTGTTTTCAGCCTCCCCGGCATTGGGATTATAAGTGCACCACCATGCCTGGACTTGGTTGCCAGCTCAGTGTGTCCAGGAGTGGGGCCAGTGTGGCAGGTGGTACTGGAGATTGAACCTCAGTCCTTGCATTTGCCTAAGTGGGTGCTTAGTCTGCTCAGCTATCCCCAGCCTTCTATTTGCAATTCTGTTTTCCTATGATTGGTAGATGCAGGTCTTGCCCTGACTCCTGAAGACTGGAAGTTTCCCTCCCCTCCCTCCTACAAGCACCAGGCTTGGGTATGTGGGCCCATTCTCTCTCTCTCTCTCTCTCTCTCTCTCTCTCTCTCTCTCTCTCTCTCTCTGTCAGTAACATAAAGATGGCTTTGTTGGGCCAGGGGTGGGCCTGTGCCCCGGAGCCCTCCTTTAGCCAAAAAGTTTGGAATTTTACTTCGTTAAAATAAGCTTTAGTTAAGTGATTACTGTAAGAAAAAACATGGCTATAATCAGAAAAGTGGAGGTGTTCTGTGACACTTTGAAGCACTTGGCAGAATGCATCGAGAACCATGAGGACTGATGGGTTTGCTCTCTTCTGGGCAAGCTGCAGGCTGCACAGAGCAGGTCTGTGCTTCACGGTTCGATGTCCCTTGGGACACCAGGTGTGAAGGTTTCCTGGGCATCACACAGAGACCTCGCAGTATGAATTTTAGTTAGAACAAGGATACCAGATTCTTCAGACAGCACACTAACATGGAAGACAAAGACACAAGGATATAACAACTGACTTTAGGAAGTAAGATCTTCCCTTAGGATCTCTAGGGACTGACTCCAGGACCTTATAGTTGCAAAATTGGGACACTGAATCCTTGCAATAAAATGCCTCCATATTTGCTCATAGCCTGTGCAGTCCTCCTGCATGCTTTCTGTCATCTCTGGATTATGTACATCACTGAGCATGAAATGTGAGTGCTGTGTGGCGTGGAGCATGATGGCAGTGAGTCTCCGCGTGTCTGGGGAAATGCAGTTTTTAAACACTGCAGTATTTCTGGTCTGCAGTGGCTTGAGCCGTGTATAGGAACCTGCACGTAGATGTGGGCTGTTCCACAGTGAGGAGTCCAGTTGCTCTCTGATTTATCTATTTTCTGCACTGTGGTAATTTTTAATCCTTTAAACATCAAAAAATACCTAAAATAGGCTCTGGCTCTTGAGGCTGTGACAGCGCCCCCTGGAGCCACAAATGCCTGTGGGAAAGTCTCAGATTTCTCTGCAGGGCTTGTAAGGGTGTCGGGAACTGTGATGGTAGGTCATTTCCCCTTACCAGGCCTCCTGAAATCATTTTAGCTGCATAGGATTGAGGTTTGATGTGTCAACCTTAAGTTATCCCTTCATTCCAAAAACATAAGACCCCCACACACTCTGAGATGTTAACTCGATCTGGGAAGCACCTGGTATAGGAGCTGGTGCGGCGGTGCTCCTGGAACTCAGGGCCGGTGCTGCAGAGCACCAACCCGAGAGGGCGAGGGTGACTGTGGTGTGGGCCGGAAAGGTCCCCCAGGACTGGTAGGCCGCGTGTTGGCCTTGTGCCTGGGGAGCTCCTGCTGTGGAGAGACCTTCATGGTGTTCAGGCACCGCAGTCAGGTGGCCCGTGGCCTTTTGTGCACGTAGAAGGGAGCTGCTGGTCAGCAGCATGCGTGGTCAGGTGGAGGCCTAGGTGGCAGTTTTTGCGTTGGGCTGATTTTGCCTGACAGAGGGTGTGGGTGAGGCTCTGAGGTGTTCCTAATGAATCAGGTCGCTTCTCCACAGGAAGCAACCCTGGAATTCCTTCTCTCCATGCCCGGAGCTCAGCTCTTGCTGCCAGCACAGGGGAGGTAGCCCCATGCCGCCACCTAGAAGGAATGTCCATAGCTCCTGCAGAGGGATTACACTGTGAGGGATCCAGGCCACCTGGGTGGTGATGAAGGCAAAGCATCTAGTCCTCACAGTGGTCCTTTGGGGCCATGGTCAAGACCTGTGTGGCTACTTTCAAACCAGGACAGATTAGAATGGGTTTGGTTCTTTATAGTATGATGTGCTTTCCTCTGGGCAGTGTCAGGGCCAGTGTGGTGTGTTGGTGTAGACGTCCAGCATGCTGCCTTCTCTCCTTGGGCCTGGGCTGTCCTTGGCCAGGGACCCCATTTGTGTTTGCTTTGTGGGCTTGTTGCAGTCTGCTTATCCCTCAGCCAAATGTGTGTGCTGTTCTTTCTGACTGATGGGCTGCAGGAACATTCCTTGACTTGTCATTACTGTCTTCCTACTAAGCATAAGGGTGGACCCAGCCCCCAGGCAAGGATGTGAGGAGCCAGAGGGGCTGGGCAGAGCTGTGTAGTGGCACCCGCATGTAGTCTGAGAACTCAGGGAGGCTGAGGCAGGTGGTGCTTAGCCTCGGCAGTTTAATGACTCAGTAAGATCTTGTCTCAAGACGAAAAGGGCAGAGTGGGGTGGTGGTGGTGGGTAGTGGCTGGTGGGTGGTGGGTGGTGGGTGGTGTAGCTCAGTGTGAAGGACCTAGGTCGATCAGGATAGAGGCCCCAGAGTGGCCTGAGAGGTATATGCCTTTGTCCACACAGTGGCTTGGGTGTCTTATGTATGAATACAGAGATGTAGGGAAAACTTCAAGGAAATACCAGATCAGGTGGGACAGATGGCT